GAGGGAGCGGCAGGTCCTCAGGTGAAAGCCGCCTTCTTAAACCCCAAGTGCCGGCGCGGCCCTCACTGGAGCGTGGGGACCAAGTGGCGCAGGTGCCGGGCTCTGGTGGCGGTTGCGAGGCCTCGCCGCAGGCCCCGGTGGCTGCGGAACTGAACCTGAAGGGTCCGCTGGGAAAACCAGGGAAGGTTTTCCCGAGCGGCCGCTGTCTCCGCATCTTTTAACGTTCTTATCAATTGCAAATAATTAGTGTTATTACTTTCCACACAGCCTCTTATACTTGTGTGAGTTTTGATTTGAATAATACTAATTTAAGGGCAGAGTTAACGGAACTAACAGTCTGTGATGGTGTTTTTGTGTTCTTCGCCACTTAAAGGTGTTAAACACTCGATACCTCAAAGTTAAAAAGAAAGAAGAGTCAATAGTGACTCTAGCGTTATGGTTCTTGCTGTTTATGTTTTAGTACTCAAGAGCACTTGCATAATAATGAAAGAATTCATACCTACGTGTGTCTTTCTTGCATCCTCTAACCTTTTACTTGTACTTTTAGTAAAAAAAAAGTTGCTGTGATTCTTAATAGACTGTTTATGTCTATAGTCTTTGTAATTCTAGGTAGTAATTTAACTTCTCTTCCTCTGGTACATTGCAGCATCATTGCTGAACTTATATTTCACCTTAAATATACTTAACTGAAGGGGACTTCATGTATGTCTGTCCATAGAACTATGACATGCTTTTAGAATACATTTTTTGAAGACTTAAGCATCTCTTCCCTTTGATGTTTGAGTGTACATGGTATTAGGCCTCCTATAACTCAAATTAGTTATGCTAATTTTGAAAACTTTGATGGAATTGTACTGCAAGTATGGAACTTAATTGAAGTCCCAACCTCATCCATTTCATCTGCTGTGAAAGCGGGACAGAAGTGTCTCTTGGCTTAGTTTATGCTAACGTTTAGCCCTCTGAGGAAAACACTAGGCCAACAGTTCTCGGTCTTTCAAGGTTTTAGTCTATCCAGAAGAGCTGTGTGTGCCTTCTCTTAAGTTAGACGTGTTTCACATTGCTTCAGATAATAAAAGCAGCTGTAGTAGGTCAGATGGAAGCCCAGCATCCTGTGTCTGAAAGCCATCAGCTGCAGGATAAGCTAAGAAAGATTTAACAGGGTAAGCAGGTAGTGATGCTTTCTCAGAATGTTTTTAATGACTTTTCAGCCCAGGTCCTCATTAGCCTTGGTTGTTGTCCTTGTGTCTGACAGCCATGGTGGATTCCCCCCCCTCCTCCCCTTTAATTTGCTCTGAAGACCAGTGTTTCTGGGGGTTAAAGGAGAGGAGAGAAAGGCTTCCTTTTTTTGTGTTGAACCAAACTACTTTCTAATTTCATCTGATACCTCTTGGTTTCTCTACTTGAACAGGTAAGAGATTACTGTTCACTTTTCATGTGCCAGTCATGGATTTTATAGATCACACAGAATCACACACAGAATCGCTCGGTTGGAAAATACCTTTGAGATCATCACGTCCAATCGCTCCCGTCTACCCCCTAAATCATATCCCTAAGTACCTCGTCTACCCGCTCTTTAAATACATCCAGGGATGGTGACTCCACCACCTCTCTGGGCAGCCTGTTCCAGCTTTTGATGACCCTCTCAGTAAAGAACTTCCTCCTTATCTCTAACCTGAACCTCCCTTGGCACAGCTTGGTGCCGTTTCCCCTTGTTCTATCCCCCATCACCTGGGAGAAAAGACCAGCACCCACCTCTCTACAACCTCCCTTGAGGTAGTTGTAGGTGGTGATAAGGTCTCCCCTCAGCCTTCTCCAGGCTAAACAACCCCAGTTCCCTCAGCCGCTCCTCATAAGGCTTGTTCTCCAGACCCCTCACCATCCTTGTGGCTCTTCTCTGAACACGCTCTAGAATCTCAACATCCTTCTTATAGTGAGGGGCCCAGAACTGAACACAGTACTCGAGGTGCGGCCTCACCAGTGCCGAGTACAGGGGTATAATCACCTCCCTGGCCCTGCTGGTCACACTGTTTTTCATACAGGCCAAGATGCCATTGGCTTTTCTGGCCACGTGGGCACAGTGCTGGCTCATGTTAAGCCGACTGTCAACCAACACCCCCAGGTCCTTCTCCTCCAGGCAGCTTTCCAGCCACTCCTCTCCAAGCCTGTAGCGCTGCACCGGGTTGTAGATGATACCTTCCCTATAGCCTTCTCTTCCTTACCTTGAAGATAATGGCATAAAATCTCAGAATCCTTTGTTCTCCGAGCTGTTAGACCGTAGGTAGCCTGTATGCTGCAATTTAAACCATTGGATTAGTCAATTAGTACCAAAACTGGTTCTGTTCGTGTTTGAGGCTTTTACATAGATTGTTAATTTACTGTATAACCCATAAAATAACTTTTCTTTTTGTTTTGTTTTTTTTTTCCTTTTTTCTTTTTAAGAACACGAAAGTGACGATGACTCCTACGAAGTGTTGGATTTAACGGAATATGCGCGGCGTCACCATTGGTGGAATCGTGTCTTTGGCCGGAATTCAGGACCAATTGTAGAAAAATACTCTGTAGCTACTCAGATTGTGATGGGCGGCGTGACTGGCTGGTAGGGAGCATCACTTTTCATAACTGTGCTGTTACTGTTCTTACAAGATCCCTTTCCAAGGCTGTTTGGAGCAGATACATCTTCTCTAATGGGATTTCCTTTATCATTGATCAAGATTATTCATGTGTGAACAGTTTCTTAACTCTGACTCATCATTCTGAAGTGTTTTGTAGCATTGGCAAAACACCAGTTAGCTAAGGGAACTCTTACCAGCTATTCTGAAAAGGATTTGGGAAAATGTCAGGACTCTAAAAGTGCAAGGAGTAAATGGAAAATTACTCCATGTAACTTTTGTTTGTATGGAAGAGCTTGTTTCCTTACTAGTATAGATGTAGAAATGTAGTTATGATATTATGGCTAAGACATATTTTATAGGTAAAAGAAACGAAGAAAAAAATGTGTGGCAGAACATACTTTTAATTAAGAGCTCCATTTTATAGAGAAGGTTTTTTTTCCTCTAAATTCAGCTGGAGCCATTTTGAACAAATTAACTGTCTGCTCTCATATTAACTGAAGAGAGCTACCGCAGCATAGTTGGGCTGAAATAATTCGTGGTGAAAGCTGGACAGTAAAGATGAGAACTTGAACTGGAAAATGTGGCCACAGTCTTAGCAGCTCTGGCAAGGTATTTGTTACTTGTCAAAGGTATTTGAACAGTATTTGTCTGTTCTCCCATTCTGAAACACTGAAGTTCAGTGAACAACAGCATTATGGTAGCACAGTAACTTTTAAGTTACAGAATTATGCAAGATTTGAAAGATGAAATACAGACTAAAAATCAAATTGTCACATCCAGGCTTAGTACAGCTTTGAGGAGTGTAGGCTTAGCTTTCAGTCCAATATTTTTAATTGCCTCTCTAGCTTTAAAATTGTATTTTAAAGATGTGTATACATGAATTATAAAGCTTCTAGGGAATAGTTCATCTGGCATCCATAAAATCTGGATTATTGAAAGACCTGGAAGCTCTATATTTCAGTATCTGTAGATGTAAATACCTCTGTGTGTGTATTCATGTATATAAATAGAAATTCACTATTCATATGCGGGGGGGGATTCCTCTGTGTGTGTGGGCTGGTGGGAATGGGGGGGTGGACCAGACACCATCAGAGTTGCCCAGAGCAGTTGTGGAACCATGGGCCTTGGAATCGTTCAAGGCTTGCCTGAGTTAGGACCCTGAGCAACCTGATTTAGCTTGGAGGTTGGGTTGGACATTGCAGCTGGCCCAGTTTTGGGAACATGGCTGAACCAGATGACCTCCAGAGGTCCCTGCCTGCCCAAGCCACTCTATGATACCGGTGTCTGTGCTGTTCTCTATCTGATGTGGGAGTGTTTGAAGACAAGACATTAATTTTCTGATGGCTTTGATCCATTAAAAATAGACTAAGGCCATGTCCCAGTAGAGGGGCTCTGCTCATTTTAACTCTTGTGGTAGGGGTATAACTTTTTTTTAGCCAGATATATTTAAGTTACGAGTTGTGTAGTTAATATAAATTATGGTATAATATATTTACCTTCCATTTGGGAACAGTTACAATGGCACTTTTATATCATTACGTTGTGCTGTATTAACATGCTGCGTTTAATAGCAACACACAGCTTTTGTCTGCAGACAAGGTCTGGAGATCTCAAGCTTAAAGGGGCCACCAGCCAGCCATAGACTAGCAACTGTTACTCATGTTGTCTTGTGTTAGCTATTATTACTTAAATATTGTTTGTATTATAAATATTCTGATTTTAAATTTTGAAAATGTGAAATGATACCTTTGCTTTGTTAAATGAAAATATAGTAATAGTTGTAGTCGGGAATTTTGAAGTGTGGCCTTGTTCAGCAGAGAACTTCATTGGACTGGGTTTTTTTGTTTTGTTTTGTTCTCCTAAGGTGTGCGGGATTTTTGTTCCAGAAAGTCGGAAAGCTTGCAGCAACTGCAGTAGGTGGTGGCTTTCTTCTGCTCCAAGTATGTAGCATTTCATGCTTTATAAGTTGGCAAATGTTATTTACTAAACAATAGGAAAAACACAGCTGTTGGGTAAAATTTAATTAGGAAGGCTTCTTATCTGCATTCTCTTTTTAGTCTTATCAATCCAGAAACTTATGTTTCAGC